GTAATGGACAGACGGCTGCTTCTCACTCAGGGCTGCTGTTTATGCTAATAAGGGGGAGAGATGGGCACTAGTGGGCGGGGCTTTCCCCCTCTGACGACACATACAAATCGAGAATGTCAATCAAAGTGTTCCTGCAGACTGTTTTGATCAAGTCTGATTAGAACAAATAGAATTAATTCATGCTACCATTAAAATCAGTTTAGATTCACACACTGCTGACACACACTGTGTGCTGAAATTGTTTAAACCCCTGATTTTTCCATAAAAGGTCCCCTTTAACACAGCATTCAGCATGTGGCATTATAAAGTAGAATTTGTGTGTGTGTGTGTGTGTGTGTGTGTGTGTGTGCTTGTGTGTGTCTCTATGTGTGTGTGTGTGTGTGTGATGTTACTGACTCTGCAGGCGTGTGATGGGCACCAGTTCTTTGGCTGTGGGTGAGAGGCAGTAGATTCGGGATCCGTGTATTGTTCCTTCAGTCTGGGTGTAATCCTCGAAGGAGCAGTCCACCCCGGCGGACAGATCCGGGACGTTTCGGGCCTGAAGGACCAGCTGGCAGATCAATGGAGAAAGCAGACAAAGTGAAAAAGCTTGGCGCACGTCCCCACATTTCATCTGCTCCGCCACTGACGGAGGCTTGTGTTTAAACTACACTCTGACGGCATCTGCTGCTCCATATTGCTGCATCTCTGCTAACACTACAGCTATGGACAAGCACACTGATCAATCACTGCACATGCAGTATCTGCTCTCTCTCTCTCTCACACACACACACACACACACCTGTACTTCAGCCATGGTGACGGAGATGTTGTTGGGCTGCACCGTCAGCTCCACGCACTGATCCACTCTGGAAGCGAATCTCTGTGGTTCATCAGCACGCTCACAGCGATCACGACGAGAACAACTGAACACACACACACAAAACAACACAACATTTCTATAAAACACACACCACTGAGCAGATCACAGCATTAATACACTCATAAACTCTAATCAAAAGTAAGAGAAAGTCTGGGCAGCAAAAAGTCGCTGGTTCGAGTCCCGGGTGAGTCAGTTGACATTTCTGTGTGGAGTTTGCATGTTCTCTCCGTGTTGCAGTGGGTCTCTTCCGTGTGCTCTGGTTTCCCCCACAGTACATACACATGCGCTATAGGGAAATTGATGAACTAAACTGGCCGTGGCGTATAAGTGTGTGTGTATGGGTGATTCCCAGTGCTGGATTGCAGCTGAATGGGCATCCGCTGTGTAAAACATATTGTATGCTGTAATAGTTGGTAAAATGAATGAATGAAGTGCAACTTCTTGAAAACATGTAGTGATTTTAGTGTGTTTGTACATTTATTTCTGAGCGTGTACGAAAATAAAAATTATGCAAAAAAAAAAAATAAAAACAACAACAAAATAACTGTAAATAAGCAATATATTTGAATATTAATAACAATAATATATATTTTTAGCCTTCAAATGATTTATGAATGCTGAAATCAGACGCATATAATCGTCACTTTATGACCTCAGTGTTCTGCCTTAAACCAAAGAGCATAGAATCACCAATAGGCGACACTCTAGTGCAATTTGGGAAACAGCCACTAGATGGCGCAGTGGCCATTTTGGAATGAAAACTCCAATAGAACAACAGCATATTATAAGTCTGTAAAATAAACTATTAAAAGTGCTGATGATTGTGATAGTAAGTGTTGTCTTTCAGGTTGTCTCTCGGCTTTAATTCGCTTTTTAAAGGGCCATGACACCCCTAACTTTTGATTCAGGTCCACCTCAGAACTTTTCAAAAGATGCATCATAGTGGGCGTGGGGCTCTGCAAGCAAAGGGCAGGAGTGGGCGTGGCCAGAAGCAGGGGAGAAGGAGGAGACCGAGCAACTGTTGTCAGTCGGTTCAAATGAGACACAAACCGTGAGGAGACGCATGATTTTATAGTTTACAAAGTTATAATGCAAAGAAAAAAAACAGTATTTTAATGTCCTGCTACATTTGTAATTTCATATACACACAACCAAAATTTATATCATTATAAAGATAATCGTGTTCATATAAACACAAAATGAGGACTTTTCCCTCAATCCCCGGGTCTGAATGCAGACTCAGTGCAGCAGGTGTCTACCCTGTCTATTTGAACCATTAGCCCTGCGGGTAATCTGGAGGATTTAGGCAAACACAGCAGCACGGCGATGTGTCTAAATGTGAACGAACTCCTGATAAAAGACAACGTCCGCCATTCTCCAATTCTCGTACTGCTCTCCTGACAAAAATGCTTGCAGCACACAAACAACTTTTCTTTATTGGCCCCCAACAACAAAGGATTTCACAGCTGAGCTTGGCACTGGCAGCCAGGTCTGCTTTGTCTTCGGAAAGCACATGCTCTCATGAATATTTAAGCAGCCGACTCTTCTCATAGGATAAGAAAACTGCGCTATGAATAATAATGAAAAACCGATGTGTCATCTTTGCACTTAAAACATCTCAAAAAAAGTACTTAAGGGTTTCATGAACCTTTAAATTAATAAATAAAAAACAAAGCAGCTGCTTGCAATTGCGACAGTAATAAGATTCAATTAACAGCCGACCACTTTCACTCCAATATGGCATAATCGGGGGCTGTTGCTGGGCACTGCTGTTGCAATGGAACGTTCTATTGAGTGTCGCCTCCTGGTGATTCTATGCTCTTTGCTTAAACCAAAGACTAAAGAATACACAAGACATGTCAATCGTATCTTCTTGAATGGGGAAAAGTGTAACTGTCAATATAGCAAAAAAAGCCCCGCCTACTAGTACAGGAGCCAATCATCAATCACTATAAGGTTAAAAAAAAGCCCGCCTTCTAGTACAGTAGCCAATCATCGAGCGCTATAGACTGATGATGGGGGAGGGGCTTGGACCAGACATGTGTTTCTGCAGATTTTGTGTGATTCTGATGTTCAGAAATTAAACTAAAGAGACAGTTGTTGTTTAATTCTGTTGTTGATTCCTAATATGAAATTCAATCGTAAGCTTGGCAAGCAGTTTTGGATAATTTGATGTTTTTATTAGCTCTGGAAAACCGTCCGAGAGGCATTTCAAAGATGGCCGCCGAGTGAAATGACTTGCCTTAAATGGATTTTGCTGAAACTTTATGTTACTGTTTAAAAAATAACAGTATTTTCCAACATCATTCAGAACATCTTTCTGTGTGTTTAACAGAATAAAGAAACTCAAACAGGTTTGGATCAAGTGTAGGACAGCAATTTTTATTTCGGGGTGAACTGTCCCTTTAAGGAAGTATATTGATCGCGAGTAGTTCAGTTTTTTGACAAATAAAAATGATTTAAGAATGCTGTAATCACATCTGATTTTACAGACGCATATAATCATCACTTTATGACCTCAGTGTTCTGCCTCAAACGTCATGTTATTGTTTAAAAAAGCCCCCTATATGGTATTTTTACATCTGGAAGCTGACTTTCTATGCTCCTTTAGCATTTAATATGGATGTTACAAGGGAAATCTGCTTCTCTGTGGCTACAATTATGGTAAAATGGACTATTTGCTGCTAATGTTTGCCAGAAGCTTTGGCAGAACGTCTGATTTCTACACAAGACAGCGAAGAGAGCTGAGAAAACTGTATATAGTAGTGAAATAATCTGCTCTGGAAGTTGAAACGATCGCTCCGACAAGAACAGACAGACTTTATAGACGCCTAAAGGGCAAATCCAGACACCTGAAGATAAAGCTGACATGGGAATATGCAGGGAAGAGGTTTGATTGTGATGATTATAGTAGCGGAGAGGATGATTGGAGCATTTTTATGTCTTTTAATTATTTTTTAAGCACAGTTCTTTTTCTCACAGCCTATGAAATCCTGCTCCTGTTTCTCCGGGAAAAGGAGATCAGAGTAATATTTCACAATATCTTCATTCTGAGGGAGACTTTGACGAGCTGATGTGAAAAGACATGGGAGATGTTGGCACATATACACACAAACACACTCAGAAATAAAGCCATAGATAAAAAAAAATGAGTTTTAACCTCGTAAAGCCTATAAAGTAATAGTCTAAACAGTTATTGAATCTTTAAAGATGTATGCCTTCTGTTGATTTTGATACACCAGGACTTTGTCACTCTTTTGGGATGATACAATTAAAACATAAAAGGAAAAATTGTATCATTTATTTATTTTATTTATTTTATGATTGATAGAGCAAACAAATGAACAACGGATTGAACAAATGTACGATTAACTGATTGAACAAATGAACGATTAACTGATTGAACAAATGTACGATTAACTGATTGAACAAATGAACGATTAACTAATTGAACAGAACAAATGTACGATTAACTAATTGAACAAATGTACGATTAACTGAACAAACGTACGATTAACTGAACAAACGTACGATTAACTAATTGAACAAATGTACGGTTAAATGATTGAATAAATTATTTAATGATTGATTGAATGAATGAACAAATGAACGAACAACTGAATGAACGGTTGATTAATTGGTTAAACGAATTAACAATTGATTGAATAAATAAACAAATGATTGAACGATTGATTAATTGGTTGAACGAATGAACAATTGACTGAATGAATAAACAAATGATTGAACGATTGATTGATTGAATTAATGAATGATTGAATGATTAATTGATTGAACAAATCAAGGATTGAATGATTGAACAAAAAAACAAACAAATGAATAAACGGTTGATTTATTAACTGATTGAACGAATGAATGATTGAACAAATGAACGATTGTTTGATTGAATAATGAACAAACAAATGATTTAAAGATTGATTAAACGAATAAATGATTGAACGAAATAAGTATTGAATGATTCAACAAATGAACGATTGATTTAATGATTGAACGAATGAATGATTGAATAATTGAACAAAAAATAAACGAACAATTGATTAATTGAACGAATAAAGGATTGAATGGTTGAACAAATAAACAAACCAATGAATGATTGAATAATTGATAGAACGAAGGAATGATTGAATGAACGAATGATCGATGAACTGATTGAATAAATAAACAAACAACTGAATGAAGGATTGATTAACTGATTGAACGAAGGAATGATTGGACGAATGAAGCATTGACTGAACAAAATGAACAAACAAATGATTTAAAGATTGATTAATTGATTTTAACGAATGATTGAATGAATGGATTGAACAATTCAATTGTTCAATTGAATTCAACAAATTCAAATTCAATTGATCTAATGATTGAATTATTGAACAAATTAACAAACAAATGAATAAACGATTGATTTATTGATTAAACAAAGTAATGATTGAATGAATCATTGAATGATTGAACAACTGAAAAAACAAATGAATGAACGGTTGATTGATTAATTGATTGAACGAATGAAAAATTGAACAAATGCTTGATAGAACAAATAAACAAACAAACGGTTTAAAGATTGATTGATTGAACGGATGAATGATTGAACGAATGAAGAAATGAATGATTCAACAAGTGAACAAACAAACGGATGAACGATTGATTAATTGATTGAATGAATCAATGAATGATTGAATAATTGAACAAACAAATGAACATATAATTGATTAATTGATTGAACGAATTAATGATTAAACGAATGAAGGATTGAATGATTGAACAAATGAATGAACGATTGATTAATTGATAGAACGAATGAATGATTGAATGAATGAACGATTGATAACTAGATTGAATAAATAAACAAACAACTAAATGAACAATTGATAAACTGATTGAACGAATGAAGGACTGATTAATTGTACAAATGAAAAAAACAAATAATTTAAAGTTTGATTAATTGAATTAAAGAATAATTGAATGAATGAAGGATTAAATAATTCAACAAATGAACAAACAAACGAATGAACGATCGATTAAATGATAGAATGATTGAACAAATGAACAAAAAAATAATTGAACGATTAACTGATTTAATGAATGAAGGATTGAACGATTGAAAAAATGAACGAACAAATGAATGAACAATTGAATAATCAATTGAACAACAAATGAATTAAAATGAATGAACGGTTGATTGAAAAAAACTAAATGAACGAATGAATAAACTATTGATTAAACAAATGAACTATTGATTGAAAGAATGAACGATTGATTGAACAAACGAACGACTCAAAAATCTGAGCTGGCCACTGCTGAGGAACAGAGGAAGTAAAGGTTCTGGAAATAAATAAGCCTGACCACATATGATACTCGTATTGTTTAATAAATATGATATATGGATTGTTTCACTCCAGTATGTCTGTTTAATCTTGAAATATATTAAAAATGTTTATGACTGCAGATAAAAAATATTTACTGTTTATAATATTATTTTTATCTTTAATTGAAAGCATGAATGCAGGGTGAAGGCAGTGTGTTTCTATAAGTGCATTAGTGTGTGTTTGTGTGTGTGTTTACGTACATGTTGTGAAGGACACACCAGCCGCAGTGAGGGTCTCTGGAGCTCAGACACTCAGAGCAGGTCGAGTACTGAGAGCATCTCTCCACCGGCACACGCGTCACCTGCGCACACACATAACACAACACAGAAAATTAAATCACAGTAAAACCACAGTAATGCTGCACCTCTGCGGTCAAATCAAAAGATGCTTGAGGCCAGAAACAGCACTGGAGGGTATGAAACATGCTTGCTGCCATGTGCGGTACAGGTACGTGTGTGTGTGTACAGAAGACACTGAATCAGCTTATCACACAATGTGCCATCTGACAGTTACCACGGAGATCTGCACTTGATTGACAGAAACCCTGAAGCCCTCCTGCTGTAAACAGAATAACATCAGTGTGTGTGTGTGTGTGTGTGTGTGTGTGTGTGTGTGTGTGTGTGTGTGTGTGCAAGAGAAAGTTATAAAATAAAGGAAAAATAGGAGGTAAAACTTAAAAATAAAGAAAAAAGTGTGCAAAGAATTTAAAAAAATGTAAGAAGAATAGAAAGTGTGTGTTGGGTTCATGTCAATTTTTCATTTAACCATGAAAACGGACACCACTAAAAGGCACCCTTATCCTTAGCTTTAGCTATTTAGTTAAAATTACAAATAAATAACATTTCCCTCATGTTTCAATAAATAAAACAAATAACGAAAGTATGAAAGAAACTACCAAAATAAAAAACTAAGTATGAAAGGGATAGTCAAATGATCAAACTCAAAATTACAAATGAATGTATAAATGAAAATGAACAAAAATACAAAATATGAAAGGGTTAATGAAACAAGAACTAAATTAAATAATTGTTTAATGCGGTACAAAAACATGAAAAGTATGAATATGACAAATAAAAAAGAACAAATAAACAAAGGTAATAAAGTAATATAAATAACATAAAATAAATAAAAATAAATAAAATAAAAAAATAATTAAAAAAATAAAATAAAATAAATGAAAATAAAAAAATAAAAAATTAATAATTAAAAGAAAAGAAAATATATAAAATAAATAAAAATTAAATTACATTCAAAAAAAAAATAAATAAAAAATAAAATAAAAAATAAATAATGGTAAATAATTATTCGTTAATTTTAAATAAATTAAAGAAAAAAAATAGTTAATTTAAATAAGTGATAAAATAAAATAGTTAAATTAAAATAAATAAATTAAAACAAAACAACATAACATAACAACAAAACTAAAAACTAAAAAACTAAAACAAAACAAAACAAAAAAAAAAAAAAATAAATAAATAAATAAATAAACTTTAAATAATCTTTATTTTCTATGGCACCTGCAAAGGTACATTTTAATGCATTTGACACCAAAGAAGGTCAAATAAAATAACAGCAATAATAACAAATAAAAAGTCAGCATGGGCATCACACATAACACAAAGAAATTAATTAAAAGTCTTTCTGAAAATAAGATAAGAAGTTTATGGACAAAAGTGTCTGCTAAACAACTAAATGTGCTCAATTTTACTTTCAAATGAGACATTTGAGCTTCAACATATCAACTTTATTAAAATTGTATTTAATATACTTTCCGCATCATTTTCATTGGGGTGTACTCACTTTTGCACAGTAATTGTAAGTTATTGTGTTAGAATACTTGAACACAGTGAAGAGTGAAGACAGGGAAGCTCTTGTCCATCAGGTCATGTGTGCTGAGTGATCATAACTGCATCAAGTTGCATCATAAGTCAAATATAAACTCAGTGCATGAAGAGAAATCTGCACTTTAATAACACACACACAGTCAGAGGTGTGTGTTCGTGTCACTCACCGAGGACGATCAGTTTACAGAGAGAAACAGTGCTGTGCAGATGAAGACGAGCAGAGATGAAGAACAGATGGTGACGATGAGTGTGTGTGTGTGTGTGTGTGTGTGTGTGTGTGTGTGTGTGTTTGTGTGTGTGTG